TACAGGAGAAGAAAAGTCATATCTGAGGGTATGCCAATTGTTTTTAATTCAATATCCTCTCCAGATAAAAGCTTTAGTAAGCTAGGAATAGAAACCAACTCCTTGAAGTTGGAGGGGGAAATTCTAATAGAAATCTAAACTAAACCTTGCTTTTAATGCTAAAATTTCAGACTTGTTCTCATTAGCATTTTAATAAAAGCAAGAATTCTATTGTAGGCAGTTATAATAGCCCCACAGAGACACCACACCAGGACCCCTAGTGGTGATGTGGTTAAAGCAGCTGGCTGCTAACAAGAAAATTCCAACTTTATGGGTGAGAGATAAGGCATCTGCTTCCATAAAAATGTAGTCTTGAAAACCCCATGGGAAGTTTTGCTTTATCCTACCCATTCAGTGGGTAGTGGGTTTGATTCTGATTTGAGTGGTGGTAACTTACATGGCAAAGGGACTTTTCAGCTATACCTAAATTGAGGACTTTGTGATAAGGAGATTGTGATGAATTCCCTGAGTGTGCCCAGTGAAATCACCATGGCCTATACGGGCAAAAGTGAGGGACAGAAGACATAGCACCAGAGTCAGTGAGAGACATGCAGGTGCTTGCTGCTGCCTTGGAAGATGGAGAAGGGCATCATCAGTAATGAAATAGCCTCTGGTGGCCTACTGGGGATGGGCCTGTACTGCCAACCCAGAGGCGGGCAGTTCAAATCTACCAGCTGCTCTGCAGGAGAAAGATGGGCAATCTTCTCCTGTGCCTCTGTAAAGCCGCTGAAAGATCAGCCATTAGTTGATCCCACCTGATGGCAGTTGTGAGTTTCTAGAAGCTGAAACAGGTAAGAGAAGAAGCTCATCCAGAATGGATGCAGCCATGCTGTCATCGGGATTTTGACTCAACGGAACCCCTTCAGGATCTCCAGAACTGTATGAGAATATGTATTGAGTTTTCCTCCCTAAACATCTTTCAAATGGTTTTCATTGTTTCACTAAGCATAATGTTTCAAAGGGTGTTGTTTTTCCTCTCTCATATTGTAGTATATAATAGAACATTATTCCTTCGAGTGGCTGAATAATATCCTACTATATGTACCTGGCACATTTTATTTGTTTGTCAGCAGACACTTAGATTACGTCTACCTTTTCGTTATTGTTAGTGACTGAATTTAAAGACTGAGGTTTGAATTTTCGCTTTCAAATACTTTGAGTAAATAGTTGACAGTTGAATTGGTGTAGATTCCATGTATTTGCATTTAACTTCTTGACGAACTGTCCAACTAAGTATTCTGACTTCTCCAGCACTTGTTATTGTCTTTACCTTAGGGACAAAGCTTTCAAACTTTCCTTACCAAGTATGATGTTTATGATGTTAGCTTTTATCATGTTGAGCAGATTTATGATGGATTGTTTATAATGGAAACATGGATTTTGTTCAGTGCCTTTTCTCCTCATTGATCAAGACTCCACAATGGACTACTAGGTCTAAATGTTCAGTAATGGTACGCAAGACCAGCCACTCCTGGCCCAAAGGCAAAGGAGGCTGTTGTTTACAGGGGCCATCAGCCACTCATTCCATATTCTCCCCTGTTCTTGACTCTATCCCTCTGTTGTTCCAGGCTAATTAGGACCAAGTAATGTGGGTTGGATGGACACTTATGAGTTTTTAAATTCCTAAGCACTCCACAATGTGCTAGAGGTAGAGACCTTTCTTTTAATTTAAACATTTTAAACAGCTACACATTCCCCTCTGTGCCCTGCCTTCACTGTATCCCATAAGTTTTGGTATATTGTTGCGTGTTTGTTTCTATTCATCTCACAGTATTTTCTATTCCTCCTCATGGTTTCTTCTTCAACTTGTTGGTACTTTAAGAGTGTGTTGTTGGATTAACACATAATTATGTATTTTCTCATTTTCCTTCTGCAATTGTTTTTCTTCTTCATTTGATCATCATAAATAAAAAAAGAAAAGACAAGTGCAGGTTGGTAGAAAATATTTCCAGCATATATGTAAACACTAAACACATTTGCTGGTGTCCAGCTGACTTCTGACTCTTGGTGGCCCACGTGAGTCAGAGTTGAATTGCATGCCACGGAGTTTTCAAAGGCTGATTTTCTGGACTTAGATAGCCAGGCCTTTCTTCTGAAGCACTTCTGGCTGGATATGAACCTTCAATCTCTTGATTAGCAGCTGAGCATGCTGACCATCTGTACCACTGAAGGACATCAATATGCAAATACCCAAACTAAACTCAGTGCCCTTGAGTCAAATTCCAACCCCTACTTATCCTGTAAGTCAGGGCAGAAGAGCCTCATACTGTTTCTAAGGCTGTTAAGTCTTCATGAGGACAGGTTACCCCAGCTTTGTCCCATTTGTTGCTGGAAATGCTTACCTTTTGGTTAGCCACTGAGCTCTTAACCACTAAGACTCCTGAATATGTAAAGAGCCCCTAAAAGTCCTATAAAAGCTCATTTCTATCAAGGCAGAACCAACTCATAGTAGGCCTTCCACTGAGTAAATCACATGGACAGAAACTGCCTATCTTTCTCTCTCAGAACCAGTGATGGGTGTGAACAACCAGTGAGGTGCTATCTTGGGTTAGAATTGAAATGCCCTATGGGCCACACCACCAGAGCTTTTAGTAAGTACCCCTAAAAATGGATTAAGCCTATTCAACAGCAAATGAACACACACACACACACACACACACACACACACACACACACACCAATAAACGAGTAACAATCTTCACTACGAATAATGAAAACACAACCTCAAGTAAGAATAAAAAAATAATTTCTACCCTGGAGACTAGAAAAATTTAAGAAACTGAGTTTACAGTATTAGAATATGGTAAAATATTCCCTTTTTTGTTTGTTTTTGGGTATTTTTGTGGGTTTTTTTGAGGGTAAAGGAGTAAAAATAGATTTATTAAAAATTACATCCACAAAGGGACAGATCTCCCTCCTCGAAAGGAAATATGGAGGAGATGCCCCAGTAAAATACTCTTGATAAGAGTATACATCTATACATTTTTGAAGACTATTTCGGCTATATCTAGAAATAATTACATTTTCAACATTTTTAGAGCTCTAGAACCATCATTTTCAAGTAAATAATTTCTGAAACTCTAAGATAGAAAATCTAATACCCCGCTGCTTTGTGAGGCAGACATGGGGGCTCTGTCAGCTCCAGCCACACTTCACAGTGTGTTCCCACTGCTCTACACAGCATGTTCAACCATCCAAAGTCTATGAACCTAAGATTCCACACCATTGCCTAGGGCAACATGGGGAAAAGTGTCCCTTTTGAAGACAGAGATGGAAATGAAAGCATGGTGTAGAAAAGTACGATGGGATGGGAGAACTTAACAAACTGAGCCAGTCCAGAGACTCAAATCTTGTTCTAGAATACCATGAGCATTATTACCAGATTTATCTCCCCACTCTGCTTGCAACACACAGAGCTGATATTTAGTATGAGAAACCAGTTGAAATAAAGACAAATTCCATCAAAATAAAGCTTACAAAATGCTGGTGAGCCTACTCCTAAATAAAGGAGGATGGGAAAGTAGACTAGGAAAGATATGCCTGGGTTAGGAATATATGATGTGTTATACAAAGAACTTGAATTACAATATCTTTGAGGTTTACTCAAGAGACAAAATACTTGTAGCATTCATTTGAACTTTGTAAAAAAAGAAATTGAAATTTATAAAGACCTTCAAATTGATCAAACAAAAGCCACTTATTGCTTTAACCATCTGCCTAAATGCTATGAATATCTGAAGGCTCACTTTTCATATTTCCAGTGCAGAATCCTGTGAGACTCTTCTTCTCATAGACACTTCTCCATTCACAGATTAAAAAGGAACCCACTTATGAGCACATTTCGAGCACTTTTATGAAACCCATGAATGATTCTCCTGCTAGACTTTCAAACAATAGGCCTACATAGTCCCAGCTGGCCACAAAGGTGGAGGCCAGGCTCAAAATATCTCCCTCTCCCTCTCCTCCTGCTCCCCCACTTGTTCCCCACCCCTTCCCCTCCCCCTCCTCCTCTCTTCCCCTCCTCTTCTCCCTCTCCTTCCCACTCCCCCTCTTGCTCCTGCTCCCCCTTCCCCTCTCCTTCTCCCTCTCACTCTGCTCCCCTCTCCCTTCCCCTCTCCCTCTTGCTCCCCCCACACCAGAATCTTTTCCTCTCACTGGATTAACTTTTGTTTTTGTTCTTCAATAAAAGAAATGTGAGTTGTTCACACAGAAAGGGGATGATCTAGTAGCAAGGGAGTCTGAAAAGCAGTCAAAAGAAATGCTATCTGGCAGTGCCTCTTAAGAGAACATCAGGGTCAAGACTAGAGCACACATTGTGGATTTTCTTTGTGAGGGAACAGAAACTAAAATTTCTTGAGCATCAGCTTTGCTGGGTACAAAGTCAGACAATGTGCTGGCATCATTTTATTTCATTTCCCCAGCAAATCTTCAAGGACTTAAAGAGTAGGAGGTCATATGCCCATAATATCTGCATTTTGATTGCTACAGATTAATGAGCTTATCAGAAGGGATTCTGAATATTGCACTAGAGCTCCAAGAAGCCAAAGCAAAGGGAAGAAATCATGAAATTAAGGAGCAGAATAGAAGACTTCAAAGGGCAGCATAGGAAGACAAAGCAAAGTGTTATAATGAAATGTGCAAAGAGCTGGAGTCTGAAAATCAAAAGGGCCATACTCACTCAGCATTTCTTAAGCTGAAGGAACTAAAGAATAAATTCAAGCCTCACGTTTCAAAACTTAAGGATGCTATGGGTAGAATATCAAATAATCCAAATGAGAGCAGTGGTCAAAAACACTTGTGGTGACTTCAACAGGAATTGTTATGGAAATAGTTATATGAAAGAAATACAAGCAATTCAACTTTAAAATTGTGAAAACATTAACAAAAGCTATCAACAAAACCACACCAAAAACTTTCGTGCCACTGCTGGTCTACAAAACACCAGCTCTTTCCCCAGGTACCTGAGAGCCATATTGTGAGCTGCCGTCCCCAGAGCTCTTCGTCCCAGGATGCACAGGGCGAAGGACAGGGTCACCAAAGGAGAGTCCTCGTCACTGTCCAGAGTCTTGGAAGGCTGAAAGAGGAGAGCTGATGGTTGGACTTCCATACAAATTCCGAAGATTCCAAACCACTGTCCAGGGCAACACATCAAATAATCTGCATTTTCTAGGTCAGAGAATGAATCGAAAGCATGGTGTAGGACTTTACTATGGGGTCCACACAGCTCAACTCTTAAAAGGAAAGTTCAGAAAGGCTTTTCCAAGTTGGCCAACCAGTCCCCTCTTAGCAATCCTGGGGATGGAGAACACTGCTCCCGTCAGCCATTTCTGTTAGGGTTGGACAGGGAAGAAGTAATGACGGGCAAGCTACTTTGTGAGAAAAGGAGCCAAGATTTCAACCCCTACAATTTCAGACACTGCCTTTCTGTTCATGACTATAAGTCAGAAATGACAGTCAACTGAGTGTCTACCTTTGCATCTCCCAGTGCAAGGAAAGACACATAGTCTAGTAGGAAGAGAAGACAGGAATATCCATGACGTAAGTTAGAATGAGGGTCTGACCCTAGAATGAAGAGTCCTCTGGCTTGACCATAAATTCCTAAACAACACCTACACTAAAAGGACCACTCAGCATCAGCTTATTTATAAGGGGATGAAAGAGTAGTTTCAGGGGGAGAGAATGTAAAAATTCCTTTAGAAAAAAAAGATAAAAAAGGAAACAGCTATATTTTATATTCCAAAGGAGGGTATTAATCTCTCATTGATCTTAAGCTGGAACCGACTCACAGCAGACCCTCCAGAGGGTTATCAGAGGTCGTAAATCTCATGGGAGGATATTGCCCATCTTTCTCTTGAGGAACTGCTGGTAGTTTGGAACCACCAGAGAGGCCGCCTTTGGGTTAGCAGCACAGCTCTGTAAGGACCATGCCACCAGGGCTGCCTGAAGTGATCACAGAGGGATAAAATGGTCATGACTCTGCAGCAAGGGCAGAGAGAAACGTACATCCGAACCTGCTCCTAGTGAGCTGGGCCGCACTGTCCACACTTAGGCTTGTTCCTCTCCTCTAGAGAGGGGCATCATAACAATGTCCCTTGGTCAAGAAGCTTACGTTCATTGACTTCTTCCCTCACCTACCTCTTGATGTTTCTTTGCACAGAACTGGATCCATTCTAGGTAAACATTGCAGTAACTAGCTCTGGTGATCCCCTGAAGACACGGCACGTAGTCATCGTCAATGTTGATGTTGAACATCGCAAGGTCTCGCTCGATGTAATGCCACTTGGTAAAAGGCTGCAGCGACTTCAGAAGTGACTCGTTTTTGACCCAGGAGAGGATTTTTGGAGAAGTGACCATATAGTATATTATACTCTGTAAAAAGAAAGCAAGAGATCTCAGAGCCCTTGAAGCTGTCTGATCCTAGTTAGGAGCTCTCACAAAGTGAATCAGCCTCAGAAAAATGTGAGATGTGGAATCTCCACAGGTGACATCACTTTGTAGTTGCTGAGAGTTTTGATTGATAAATCCCACTTGAGACATAACAAAACATCCTCTCTTAGGAGTCAGTGTAAATCAGGAAAGGTGTGTGTAAGGGTTACTGGTTGCTCTGGGGAAGACTGTAATATCACGACTGGAGGTACACTTATCAACAACTTTGTTATGCAGATGACACAACCTTCCTTGAAGAAAGTGAAGAAGACTTAAAGTTTTAAAATATCATGAGTAAAAACAACAGCCTTCAATATGGATGAAATCTCAACATCCAAAAAACAAAATCTTTACCCCTGGAACAAGAAGAAATGTCATGATAGATATAGAGAAGACTGAAGTTGTCAATGACTTCCTTTTACTTGGATTTACAATAAACATCCCTAGTAGGAGTAGTTAAGAAATCAAAAGATGTATTGTAATGGGGGGGGGGGGATCCTGTTGTCTAGGACCTAAAATGCTAAAGAACAACAAGGTCAGTTTAAAGACTAAGGTGTGCCTGACTCAAGTTATGGTCTTTTACTTTCTAGACTTCTGAAAGTTGGCCCGTGAGTAAGAATGACAGAAGAATAACTGATCCTGTGAATCGTGGTGTTGAAGAGCAGTACTGAAAGTGCTATGGACTGCCAAAAAAACAAGTCTTAGAGGAAATGCAACCAGGGTGCTCCTTAGAGACAAGGAGGGTGAGACTTCCTATCAAACACTTTGAGCATGTTGTCAGAAGAGACTAGTCCTTGGAAAAAGACATTGTGCTGGGAAATACAGACGGTCAGAAAGCTAGAGGAAGATCCCCAACAAGTTCGATGGACACAGTGACTGTGACAATGGGCTTAAGCATGTCAGAGCTGGTGAGGCTGGCACAGGACAGGGCAGGGTTCAGATCTGCTGTTCCCAGGGTTGCTGTCAATGACTCAAAGTGAAGGCACTTAAGAACAGCAGGGAAGGTCAGTGTAAGGGAAGTCGGAGAATCTGATGCTGATGGAATGTGAGAAGACAGGGCGCTGGGGGTGGGGAGGGGGGTGGGGGGGTGTAGAGCAAGGGATCACTGCAGCCTCCTTATCCCACAGCCCCTGCCGCCAGAGGTCACTTGAATGCATTAAAATGACAGTTTCCATGGAAAATCCTTCAACTCCTTATAGCATATGCACGCACATGACACCAGATGCCTAAACGTTTGTGGTTAGTGACGTGTTCAAAATCAGACATCACACTTATGACACACATCGGGAAGACACCACATTCAGGCTTTACTGCTCAGCTTTGTTGAAAGTTCTCTTCTTGTGGGTTTTGGATGAACTCATCCATCAAAAACCTGGCTGCAGCGTCAAAGAGGAAAACTGTGACAGAAAAGGAAAGTCCAGGTCTATTCCACATCCCTCAGCCAGCTCAGCGCAGAGTCCCCATACTGCCTCAGGGCTGAGGCAAGGATGTGCGCTCTGTGTGGCGAGGGCCTGTGTGGACTGCACACTGCCCTGCCTCACCCTGAAGTGGCCAGTGGCACATGGCGGCATGGTGTACACGGAGAGGCCTTACTGGGGACTCCCCTGAGTCACACATTCAGTTGGGGCGGACTTTCACAGTATAAAGAACAGACTTTTTCAAAGAGAGCATCTACTTTGACAGCTCACGCTCACAGGAGGTGCTGAAGGCTCCAGCACTACAGCCTTCACTTATGAAGGGGAAGAAGCACCCTGACAGGAGACTCCACATTTGCTCTGTGCGACTCTCTTTCTTTGGCTGTGAAGTGATGTTCAAATAAGGCCTCTGAGGTTGCTAATTTTCAGGAAATTTCACAAGGGTGAGCAGGTGAGGGACTGACAGGATCTGTGGATTTGGGGAACAGGTGCAAACGCCTGACTTAGCCTCTCAGTATGGTCAGGAGGTGTCCCTTTGGCTAATGGCTTGTGGCCTTCCTCCTTTGGACATATGCTTTTGGGCTCCAAAGCCTACTTGATTCTGACATAGCCAACAGGGCAAGTACAGTCCCCAGGTGATAAGTAAAATTCAGGAGTTCGCATGCTTTCCAGTTTTGACTGTACCCTGAACAATGAATGGTAGCTGGCTTGAAAAGGATCTCTGCAGAATAAGAAAGGAGTAGAATAGAGAGGAATGAAGGGAAGAAAGACAGGAGAAGGTAGGAGGAAAGGAAGAAGAGGGTGGGAGGGAGAGAGGGAAGAGGCAAGGAAAAATGAGAGAGAAGAAAGATGAGAGAGGAGAAATGGAGGAGTGAAAAGAGAGAGGTGAGGCGAATGGAAGAAGGAAGGACAGAGTTAAAGGGGAAGGGGAGGGGAGGAGCAGAAGAAAGGTGCTAGCAGGGATAGATTGGTAAAAGGAAACAGAAAATGAGAGGCTGGAAAGATGCAATCCTTAATGTTGCCCACACTTCCTCATTGTCATAAGGATGAAGGGAGATGCTCACTAGACATGAGTCAGGAATAATGGCAATATCACACCTGTGGTCCTTACACTTTCCCTCCTCCACACATAACGTAGGCTGGAACCTGGGGACTCACTCAGCCAGCTCAGTGCCAGCCAGGAGAGGTCTGGGGCCGAGGCTGGAGGGCCAGGTGGCATTAAGAGATAGCTGCCTGTGTTAGTTACCAGAGTGACTAATAGCCACATATCTAATATCCAAATGGACAAAACCTCGATTTGGAGGCTTGATTACTGTCTGTCTGCTGGCCTGACAACAGAAAGCCTCCATCTGGTAGACTGTTAAGGTAGCTGCACTCACGTCAGAGGATTATGTCACGAAACCTAGCAACTGTGACCTTGGCCATCAGTACTGTTGGCAGCTAAAATTTAAGAAGGGGAAAGGATGCATCATTTTCTCTAAACATCTACGTTAGCAAATAGCTGGTCTAGTTTTTCATTATTATTTCCCAATCACATTCATCAGACAGAAATAACAAGCAAAATCAGAAGTAAAAAATCTCCCCTTTGGCTTATGGACCATGGTTTCCTAGAGCATCTCCATGCATTGGTACAACATAGTCTATAATGTTTTTGCTCTACATCCTGGTTGGGTGAGTGATACCACATTGATAAGCATTAAATCTAAAAGACAACTATCATTCTCTACACATCTCAAGCACAAAATAAAGAAAGAAAACAAAAAGTGAGAAAGAAACCAGTCTACAGAACCAGCTGCTCACATGACCCGCTCTCCATCTTTCTAGAGATTAGAAGAACTAGCCAGTGCTGGCTATTATTATTGTTCATCCTGGCCAGCGTCACAACAGATGGCCCCAGACAGAATGGAAGAAACTGGGGACTGAAACTCACATGACTGGACTGGCAGACACCTGGGGACCCCGAGACAGTTTTGCTGGGATGCCCTTGAAAGGATGGACTGAAATTAGTCTAGGAGGTCACCTTTGAATGAAACGACAGATTGGCTCATAAAATAAAACAACAGTGCATGAATACTATGCTCTTTTTATTTTTTTAAAAAAGAAAGTAAACAAAGTCAACATGATCAACATTTTTCCTAAAATAAAGACGAGAAGGTGGATGGGGAAGGAGAGTGGAGCAGGGAAACCAGAATAATGGACACAGAAATGGAACAGATACAACGACAATGTTGACATGATGTGGAAAATGCAATCAATGTTATGGTATAGTATGTGTATAAACTGTTACATGGGAAACTACTTTACTGTGTAAACATTTACCCAAAACTCTATGCAGATTGAAAATAAAAAATAAAGGGAGTGGACTTCTAGTAAGACAGAGAACTAGACAGACCCTCTACTACAAAAAAAAACCCATTGAAATATATATAGATGGTAGATTTTGGACCCTGAGCTTCACAGGAAAAGGTCAAGAGTAGAATTCAGTACTGACTAGGAGGAAAACGGACTGAAAACACCCAGTAGGGAGAAACAGAGCAATGAACTGTCAGCTGGCCTGGCATTTTGAATTTTTGCAAACCAAATTCTGATTTGTGCAGGAACCTGACAATTGGCTATGATCCCCATCGTCTACACCAGTACCCACACAGGAAGCGGACACCCAGAAAGGTACCACTAGCCCCTTATTCTCCTGGATACTAGACATGTGTTAACCACCACCCTTCATGTAGTGACCCTTCTCTGCCTGAAGAGAACTGGGGAGAGGGGGTACACATTGCACTGGGTCTGGGTCTCAGGCACCAACCTCTAATACCCTAGTTTTCTCTTATTTTAAAAATATTTTCTATTTCCCCTCCTTGTTTGTTTATAATTTTTATTTTTCTAATTTTAAAATTCTTATTCTCCTTTATGTTTTTCTTCTCTTTCATTTCTGGGTTTTTGTCTCTTTTTCTTTACCATTCATCATTGTTTATATTTTCTTGTCATTTTGTATTATCTTTTATTTTTAATTTCTTTTTCTTCTTACTTTTTTCTCTTTACTATTTCCTTTTTAGCTGTTCTCTTTCTCTGTTTCCCTCTCTCCTTTTCCTTCTCTCTCCTTCTCCTCCTCCTTCTCTCCTTCCGTCCCTCTCTCCCCCTTCCCCTGCTGTAGTTTTTTTGGTCTACCCAGTGGAAGACAACAACTGTGTCTACACCGCCCAGTTACACCACACCTCCTGCAACCCTACACACTGGGTGAAAATAGATGTGGGCAAACAGCAGCCCAAGTCCTCAGCAAGTGCTCTGCATGCACAGTGAAGAAAGACTGGCACCCACACATTTCTATCTCCTACTTTACCCTTCTATGCAATCGATCTGGTGAGCTTTACATGTGAAGTCATAGGGTTGGAGTTGTTGGGGTTTTTTTTATTTGCAATGAAGAAATCATTGACTACATCTGTGTAAGAAATCACTAGAGAAGCTCAATATCAGCAGTCAAAACCAGACTAGGTAATGACAATCACACAATTTCTCATATTCAAACTGAAG